TTCTTCTTGTTGGTTTATAGATAAATCAAGGTCTGTATGGTTAATGTATTCAGATATGCTGGTTTGGATAATATTGAAAATGAGTGATGGATTTGAGCATGTATGCCAATGGGTTAGAGAGTTGGCAAGGTTACAGTTGAAGCATTTAGTATTGTAGAATGTATGTGTATAAATTTTGTAAAAATAAAAGTAAGTAAGAAGTTCATTTAAATAATATTTTGATTTTAAATAATTTAAGGTGATTGAGTTTAAAGTTAGTGATATTATGAGTTAGTTTTTGGTTATGGTTAAAAAATTACCAAGTTGATTTCCAGTCGATTTGAGGAATTAGAGCTTCCCATTCCATGTTACATTTTTGGAAGGATCACATTACTAGAATGTAGACTTTACAGATAATTTTAATAAAACTTCTAGTTGGATGTTCGATAAAATGCTGATCCCAAGAAATTATATGATATAGGTTGTAAATGCTTGTGTAGTTAAAATATAATGAATGTGTGAATTATATTGTTTTGCAAGTGAGTTTGCTAAATTATTAAGAGTGTTATCAGAATGGGCTTGTACTTTATGAAAGTAAATTTAATGATTATAAGATTTGATAATATTAAGCAGGATATGCCATATGTGCCATGAGTTAAATTTGAAAAGCTTGTTGGAATTTGAGAAACTAGTATATATTTTAGAGTATTTAGTAATTATTGATTGAGAATCAGTGTAAATATTGATTATAGAATTGTGAAGAGTAATTGAAATAGCTGAAAGGATTGACATTAGTTCAGCTTTGTAAGAAGATGGCCAAAAATGAATTTTAGCTGAGAATTTGTAAATTATATGATTGGAATCATTGACTTGTATCCATTCAGTACTCATTGTATATTAATCTGTATCAATGTCAATTACAGAGCCATCAGTATAGAAATTAAATATATTTTGTACTATATTGGTAAAAAAATATTATTTAAGTATATATATAGCTTCTTTTTACTTAAAAATTTCTGATATGAGAGAGTCAGAAATATAGATAGTAAGAGCAAAAAATAGGGATAATGGATGTTTAATCACAGTTGAGTGGATCAGATCAATATAGTTTGCATTAAAGTTAAATGCATTAGAAGAAACTCTTCCAAAAAATTGTATAGAAATTATTGATAATACATTAATTATATAGTGATTTGCAACATGATAAGAGTTAAGATCACAACCTGTACAAACTGAGCATTGAATTGATGGAAGAAGGTAATGGGTAGAGATTTTTGTATTAATATTTGTATTCCAGTGCATAATAGAATTTGGTTGTCATGTTTGAAGTATCTGCAAATTTTGCATAATAATATTGTTGTTATTGTATGTTAGTAATCAGGATTTAAGTTTTTTAGAAATGTATTGAGAATTATAAACAAAAGGATTGTGTCCAGTTTGTTGATATTGTGGAAGTAATATTCTAGAGCTGTTGTTAGTAGTTACAGTGTTTTCTAGACATATAAACCAGAATGGTTTACGTCCTTTAGGTTGCTGTACTAAGCGAGATAAAAGATGATTCCATTGGAGTAATGTAGTATTATCTGCAGTGCAGAGTTGTTCAAGATACAAGATGTTGAGTTTTCTAAGTTGTTTTTTGAAGGTAGTATATTGAGGATAGGTGCAGCCAGAAACTGCAAAATACCAGAAGAATGGATTTCAATAGTTAATACTACATTGACTAAAATTAACCCCTATATGCATTCATTACGAGTTTTTAAAGACAACTTATATAATGGAATACTTGAACTACTTGAAAATACCTCTACTGAAGAAGTTGCTGCCATTATACATGCTAACAGTATTACTAATGTACAACCACATAGTATTATAATCTAGTGTAATACAGATATTGCATCTAAATTCATAAACATTCTTAATTCTCAATATGAACCATTGCAATATCTGTTATTTTTTCCCCATGGTACCCCCAGATGGCATCCCAAAAACCTTACAACCTATTTCAAATTGACTGATATAGATGTTAATTATTATGTGAGCAAAGATTCTTAATATTTGAAAGGCTAACTTGTGAATATTTAGTTGATATATACTCACATGTTGTAGAGGAACATTTAAACTACATTTTAAATGAAAAAAAGCATCTTTGCCAAGAAAAAAAATTTCAAAATAGAAACAATATAACAATTGAAAAGGATTATGAAAATGAAGATAAAAATGAAAATAGTGATTTACATATTCTTGCATTATTTTTGTAATCTAAAAGATGGTGCTCATTTCACATTATAAATGCTCTTGCCCTTGCCCAATGTAAAGGAAAACCAAGTTTTTTTATTACAATGACCACTAATCCAAACTGGGCAGAGATATAATCTCAATTACAACCCAACCAAAATGCATTAGAAATAACTTCAATTATTGTATATGCATTTTATTCATGTCTTAAAAAATTAAAAGATTTATTATATACATATTTTGGAACAGTTATTCATATGATTGATGTGATAGAGTTTCAAAAACACAGATTTCTCCATGCTCACATAGTAATGTGTGTACAACCAAAACTACCTGTTAAACAAATTGATAAAATCATAAGTGCAGAATTACCTCGTGAACAATTACATTTAAAAAATATAGTCAAAAAGTTTATAATACACAAACAACAGCATTCATCATGTTGCCTTTACAATAATAATACATGTATATATGGATATCCAAAACCTCTAATTTCAGAAACATATGTCAATGACAAAGGCTATATACAATATCATCACTGGGCACAAGAAGATGCATGAATAGTACTATATAATCCTATGCTATTCCTAAAACTAGAATGTTATATTAATTTTGAAATTGCTTCAACTGTTCACCTATTTATGTATTTATACAAATATCTTTTTAAAGGCTCTGATTATATAAATTATACTATTAACAATAAATCTGAAAATTCCAGTCAACAACCTATTAATAAATTCAATGATTATATTAATGGAAGATACCTATCAGCATCTGAAGCAGTGTAGAGAATATTTCATTATCCTGTAACTACATCAGATCCATCAGTTTTAACACTTCCTATACATCTTCAAAATGCTAACATTCTACAATATCAACAAACTCGAAATATTACATTAACAGCTTTATTACTAGATCATTGCTTTCTTAGATCACTAGACTTCAGTTTTAGTAATCTAAAATATATGGAATACTCTAAACAATATATACTATATCCTTACCAGTATAATGAAATATGCAAAGATGACTTTATTGAAAAAGAACATTTAAAAATACAAAAAAAAATTGTTCGAAAATGAACTATCAATAAAATTACTAAAATAGTTTTAGTTTTTTCAAAAACTGGTAAAATATTTTACCTAAGAACAATCTTAATGCATCATACTGCTTGGACATGAAATGATCTCAAAACAGTAAATAAAAACATTTATAATATGTACCAAGAAGCTGTACACAAAATGGGACTATTTACAAAAGAAAATGAAGATATCCTTATTATGGAAGAAGCTGTTGCCAATTATTATACATCTGCACAACTGCACTTTCTATTTGTACAACTTATATTAGATGGTGCTGTAGCTCTTAAACTGTGTGAAAAGTATAAAAAAATTTTCTCAACCAATCATCAAGAACAATTACATAATAATCTAAATGCTACTGAAATAACATTGCAACAAATAGCTTCCATGAATGACCAATTCTGTAACTCTCTCTGTAGATCACTTGTACCAAATTTTGCTAAAAAACATTTAATTATTTCTCAAAATTTTACTAAATAAACCTTACTTGT